TCCATCCCTCCAACATTTCCATTGCTCTATTCTCTTTGTTAGCTTATTCTTAACAAGATTTTTCAATTTGAAGCAAAAATTTGCTTGGTCTTTAATCTCTTGAAGACGCCTCATATTTGTCTCTGTTGCATCAATAGGAGTTGGTTCTAGCTGAACTTGGGAAGCTTGAACTTGAAGTTCAACTTCCATCTTTCCAACTCATTCTATCTCTACTTTCTCACTCTCCAATGCAAAGATTTTATATTCCATGACTTGCTGCTTGGTATGTCCGTCTACTATTATTTTTCTCAACTCATATATCTCCACCATGATTGCATTGAGAACCTCACCCATATCCATTGATGTTTCCATGCTTTCTTACACTCATTGTAATAAAAAATTAGTATAATCATTATCTGATCTCTCAAAAAAAGAGACACACAAAGTATAGATGATTCTATCATAGCTCTATAGAAAATCTCGCTACAATCTCTTTTGTCGGTATACTGTTCTAATCTCCACATAAGTGATGAATCAAATCAGATCATATAGTTTGCGATTCCAATTCATGAAACATTCAGTATATAATGTATATGGTCAATTTTAAGTCTCTCCATAAGTAACTATTGGAAAGAATTAATGACACTCTCGACTCCGTCATTATAGTTATAAAATCTGCACCCCAACAAGCCACAAGGTACATCCAAAAATGATGTTTTTCCATGCAACAAAGTTGAATATCGAATAAGTTAAAAATTGGCAAGTGCGGTACTAGATTCTTGTCAAGCCCATTCATATCTACAAAATCATAATTTTCCCCTTTTCACCTTTCTCTACATGCCGATCGATGATCTTTGCCAAACTCTATACACTCTCATCACTCACTTGTTATTCCATGAGGAGTAATCTATAATCAATGAAAGAGCAAGGTTGCTATGATACCATTGTAACACTAGGGTTTAGAGAGAATTTCACTTGAAGATGAAAACATAAACTCTGAAGATGAGAGATAACAACAATGGTTCTACTCTCTCTTATATAGCTTTCACCAACAAGTACAAGGAGATAAGATCTTCTTCCCACCATACATTTCACTCATAGTGGATGGATGACGTGGCGGATAATTCTAACAAGCATACAGATTGCTTACGTGACGCTCCCAACTAGCACACTCAATCGTAATATAACAATGACACGGATCGCTAACGTGGCATTGTCAACTAACACACCTACTATCTATCTACCAAGCGTGCGGATTGTTGACGTGACAACTATGACTAGTGCACTTTAAAATATATATATCAACATTTAGATTAACCTCTACTTTAGTCTAACTTACTACAAATGATTACAATAAGACTCTGTGATATTTTCAGAAGTAAACGTAACGTAGTGACTTTTTTGCATCATAGGTAACTAAAACTAAGTCGGAGCCAAAAATATGTTTGAATATAATTATAAAGAGATAATAAAAGTTGTTAGCAAACTCTACTTGTGTTCATCATGCAAAACTTGCATAATAGCACTATGATTCTTTAAACTTTCAAAAGTAATCATTTTGATTAGCGCATCAAATGTATTGAATTTATCGTCGACTTTGATTAGCTCAATGCTAACCCACACATCCCATCTCTAATATAATGATACATAATGTCAATAATTTCATACTCTTATTCATCATTTGATTTGCAGCAAGATCTAACGCATTGTGATTATCATTATAAAAATTGACAACTTCATGTTTCAATATCATGTCCGTAATAAGCCTATTCAAATAGCTTACTTTAATCTTTTTATTGTTGATACATATTCAGATATACATTGATCTAGTCACTTTTGCAAAATACATCTCCAACTAATGTATTCATCATCAAATGTAAATCTATATCTAGTTTTAGAATTTTTTTTGTTCAAATTTTGTCAATAATTAACATCAAAGTAATCTAGCAAGTATTTGACATTGTTGAATGAGTCATCAAACAAATTTTGTTGAAGTTGAATTTTATTTGAAAGTTTGTTTGGAAATTTTTTGAAGTTTACTACTAAAATTTTATATGGATTAGATATTTGACTCAATTGATATAAAGTTGAATGCAATTTAATCTTTCATTTCATATATTTATTTGCATCCAAAAATTACATGAATTCTAAATTTTATCATTCAGATTTTGTTAATAAAAATCTTAATTAAGAAACAAAGTTATAAAAATTATAATTATTTGATAAGGTTCATGATGATGAATGTAGATTGAAATTTTGATCAAGTGCATTGAATTTACAAATCAATAATTAAGAATATATATTTCAAATGAACAATGCATATATTCTCATGAAATTAATAAATTGATTGTCGATTTTTTGTAAAATATAATCTAAATTACTAAGTTTTCAAATTAGCTTAGAATATAATATATGTTAATTTGAAATTTTCTAGTGATTCAAATAACTTTACTAATATATATATATATATGAACTATTGACATATTTTATTATCAATACATTTTGTAAAATATAAAAATAATTTAAGTTACACAAATTTTTATAAAAGTACAATATTTTATTTAAGATTATTTATGAAGTTTGTATAGTAATTAATGATTAAAAATGTTAAAAATTGCATGTAATCAATTAAAAAAATTAAGCCATTCAAGGAAAAGATTTCTAGAACAACTTGCTCAAAATATTTTAGTTATCACTCCATGAACAAGTGCTTGGATGATTTAGAGCGAAACATTGTGAACTTTACAATTTTGAATGATTGATGTCTTGCTCTTAAACTCACATTCATGACTATATAACAATGATAATGATAATAAAAAACTTGTGTATAATTAAGTTGTGACATCACGAGTTGTAGGTCCCATGAGTATCAAAAATCAAATAAATTAGAAACTTTATGCACAATTTAAGGTAGCTACCTTTAAGTCAAATAGCGTATTAACGCTATTTGACTTAAAGGTACCTGCCACTACTCCTATACTGCGCTTTGGTTGATTGTAGTTTGTGATGCCAGCTGATGACCGCAATACTTCTTATTCACTTTGATGCTTAAATCCACAATATTTTGCCACACAAACTTTCTCCAAATATAGTCCCATGAAATAAAGACAAACATTCACACAAAGTGATCATAGTTTCCAATGATATCTAAATGACATAAGGACAAACATTCACATAGAGATAATACAACCAATACATGGATTAAATTTGCAAAAACATATTGAAACATTTGTGACGTAGAGAGTTACGACTAACTCTACCATGTTGTAAGAGTCTAATTAGTGTAAAAAAAATGTAATTACACTAGTGAGAGTTTAAAAAAATTTGAGTTTAACATTGTAACATTTTCTTTTTTAAATACGCAGATAAAAAATACCTTCAAAAGTAATTTAGTAGATAAGAATGAAAATTTAAATTTAAATTTTATCAATTTTATTGAATACATGTAATTTCAGAGAAACGTATTTAAAATATTAATTTTTTTACTATACAAGCTAATTATATCTTAGTTACGACTCCAAACTATACTTCAATATACATTTATATAAAATTTGTGGCATGATTGTTTCAATATCTAAACCTAAAATATATATGATACTATTTGATATATATATATATATATATATATATATATAATATATGATTTGAAGTTTTTAAACAAAATTTTAAGTTTGAAATCCACTTGATGCTCATATTTACTTAAAGCTTTTGGGTATGATATTCACATCAGGTTTATTTGTTCCATATGATGTATAATTGTAATCCATTTCTTTTCAACATCGATAATATTGGAGACTAAACTTTATATTACGTTTTTGGTTTCATACTTGTACATCTTGATCGATTGTCTTCAGTATTTCCTATCTACTTGTACCCATTGTCATATTTTAAGCTTTTCATATTAATAATTTGTATGTCAAGAATCTAATGTGATCCACAAACCGGCTTGGAAATTTGCCCAAATCAATAAGGTTGATCAGCCATTGCAATACCATATGACGAAACTAAAGCTTTTATGACGGTCGTCATTGAGGAATATGTGGCAGTGTTGCAAAGACGGGCTGGGCTGGGCAATATGTGCAGAAACTCTCATATATATGATGAAAGTTATAATGTTCAACACATTTACTCGTTTGTGTGTACAATGATTATGAGTGAACTTATAGTAACATGTAATTTATAAGTAAGTTTTGATGGTTTATTATTTATGGTTTTTGTAAACTAAGTAATCACTGTTAAGCAAAGAAGTGAACTTTCTTGCCTTCAAAGTGGTCAAGGGAAGGTTTAGATTAGACCCTGTGCAGGTATATATTACTTGCGTACGTGCCATGAGAATTATGAGTTTAATTCTATATTTATTTCGATTCTTTTTCTTCTTGATGAATATTCTCATGACGGTTTGGTTCAATCGGCATTTTGCTCCAAACAAAAGCTCGTGAACATTGATAACAGAAGCATATGTATATTATTATATATATTTATATTTCATTTACAACTAAGACTCATTGTAGAATTGAAGTCCCGTTTACAATCTGATTTGCTTTATTCGTCCGGAAGTTAGCTACCTTCAATAAGTTTCAACAAAGATAATTTCAATTATGTCTCTAGGAGACTTTTAAGGTATGGTCTTGCCATCGCTCAACCAAGAACACTACTGAAACAAGACTGTACATGAAAAAGTGAGGAAATGCATTCTTTAGAGTGTTACAAGCCTGACTCGTGATTACATGTTCAAAGAATCCTATGAGATGAAGTTTTAAAAGAGGTCATCGTCGAAGTAAAGAATGAAACTTCGGATATTGACTTTCGTATTCTTGGATCTCGTTTTTATATTTCACTTTCATGTTCGTACTTCACTCTCTTCCCCATGGCTGCTTGTTCCTCTGTCGGTCCGAGGGTCTGAATTTGGTTTTCTAATATGGAAACCAGACTCCTTCCCTCTGGCAGAAGAAACTACAATGCTCTTCACTATACTGGACCGAACTCATTCCATACAAGAACCCCTTCATATCAACGACATCGAAGAGACTTCTTTGTCCTTGTAATGTGTATACGATACATGTCACGGTTTTGAAGTTAGAGACCTTCTCTAAAACGGAATTCTAACAATGACATTTAACGCCTTTAAGCGACTTAATACTTCGTGAGTACTTACATACTCTATAAAAGAGCTCGAATCTTATGATAAAAGCGACCAACAAATAAGAGGAAAGAGAAGATGCTGCTGCTTCACTTGTACCAAACCAACATAACGCAGAATGTAACTGAACTCATAATCCCCAGACCAAAAATATCTGTATTCGCTATATCCATTCTAGGCATGAAACAACCACAGTAACACCTACAAGATCTTCACCTGTGACGCAAGACTGACCCAAGGAGTCACTGTAGAGCTGGAAATGTGCTGAATCTAAGATGGGGCAATCTGCAATGTTGCTAGTAAACTGAAGTTTGCACTTAGAATTTCAAAATTGGTGAATACAATCTGAATGGTAGTATTCTTTCCACACGCAGTATACATTTCAACTTTACGATGCCAATAACAGTGTACATCATGCTCATATTAGGGAGAAAACCTACAGGGGAAGTTCACCACTGGCAGAAATTTTTACTGTTTTCTTTGGGGTGCCACTTGAGGTTCCCTCTGCCTCCACTTTGTAGACAACATCCATGCCATGGAGAACCTTTCCGAATACTACGTGCCTGCCGTCCAACCTGTTCAAAAAAGCCGTAGAAGAGAGGAGATTCAAAATCCAATATGGTGAAGGAAAAAATATAGAGATGGTGACATCTGCTTCATTGACCTGAAAACGTCGAACAAAAACAACTGGGACCAACCGGCAAATCTGTTCTCCTTTCCTAACAGAACGTCAAGCGAGTCAATGATGAAAAGAAAAGAAAAAACTTTCTGGTTTGGGTTTCCAGGTGTGCAGTGACGATCCGATACTTCCCTCGTGTCTCGCCATCAAAATACAACTTGGATAAATACTCACCAGCTGGTCTTGACGGTGCAGATAAAAAACTGAGAGCCGTTGGTATTTGGTCCAGAGTTGGCCATGGACAGGATTCCTGTTAGTTGAAAAATTCATAGAAGAATCAGATTGCATGACTTCCGGTGCTCAGGTTAAAACAACTGTCAAGAGGTATCCAACGCCAACTAACTTTTTGTATGTAAAGACAGCTCCGCTTCCCTTTGGACAAGATATGGGCAAGGACGAAGTCCAACAAATGTAGATGTTCAAATGCATGCACACGGGCAAGCGCTAATTTCAACAGACTAGGTGTACATGAGGGAAACACATCTTGGGCAAAGTATACTCACTCACAAGGATGAAGACCATATGCACTCAGATGACCTAACACTAACAACAATGGTCACTTGTTAAGAATTACCTGGTCCAGTGTGCTTCAACTTGAACGACTCATCAGCAAATTTGGTTCCATAAATGGATTCTCCGCCTCTTCCGTTTCCGTACGTTGTATCACCACCCTGAATCATGAAACCAGGAATAATGCGATGGAGAACACTTCCCTTGTAGTTCAAGGGTTTACCACTCGGTCCAGCACCCTTCTCTCCTGCACATGAGGAATGAAAGCTATTGATTACGTGATGCCAAACATGTCCTTAACATCCTGAAAACCATTTGCACAACTAGTGGGCGTTCTATTATTGACCTTCGACTCCTGACCAGTTGAAAAGAGTAAAACATAAGCTTCAGAGCTACATACCGGTACAAAGTGCTCGGAAATTTTCTGCAAGAGAAAATCAATATTCGTAATTAGTGCAAAATACATCACACTGCTACGGAATCATTCTAGCTGCATGATTTGGCATAATGAATTACCGTATATAATAATTTCAACTGGAGATCTAAACCACGGATATGACCCAAGCAGAGCCCAGAAATGAAGTGAATCACAAACTAATTACGGCTTAACGAGTCGTACCTACGGTCTTCGGAACTGCGTTGCCGAAAAGACCCATTTCAATTCGCCCTGCAAATCGAGAATACAAAGATGTTAACAGTTCCATGGAAATAACATCTGCAGCCTTTAACACTCAAGACTTCTAAATATGTTGAGAAGGGTGCCACTTGGAATCAACATCTTCTGTGAAGAGTGAAAAGACACCAGAGTTGGGAAGTATGCGAGCTAAACTTTAACCTCGTATAAAGAGGCGAGAATATACCGAGAAAATTATCCCCAATTTTTTAATATCAACAGCTTTTTGAATAAATTTCACGTTCCAAGATTGTTCAGATAGAAGATGAAAGTACAAGACCACCTCTGCTCTACATTTCAAAGTCATGAATCAAGCTTGATTCATTCGCACTAGAACTGGGTTATGTTTGACTATCTGCAAAATGATAATATGATCAAATCTACCACACATTACAGTGTAACTGACATCCGAAAATTGAAACAGTGACAATTTTCATAGCATGGAGCAGTTCGAATTTTCCATGTTTTTAACACAAGACTGGCACACATCGACGGCTGAACTAATCGCTGTTCCCCTAGTATTTTGAGGACACTTCCAGCTAACGTGAAGATTGTAATTGGATCACAAGTCAACTAGAAAAGGTTGAAAATTCGACATCAGAAGAAGTGAGACATACCGGCACTCTGACCATCAATCTCGATGTCGAAGTAGACTTTGTGTGTGATGGTCTCCAAATTGCTTTCCTTCTTAGCCTGCATTACACAGGGCAATAATCACAGTCAGATAACTATCCACAACAATCTCGTCCACTACCTCGACCACAGCACAAAAGCGCAAAGCAAGCAAGCAGGCAGGCAGGCAGGCGGGCAAGTAAAGAGACAGCAGATTGTGACATGAAGATCTCTGCATCGCGGAAACAAGTAGGACGAAAACTGCTCGTCAAATCGAAATGCAGGCAACAATGGATCGACTGCCTGAACGGAGTAGAGTGTCGTCAGAAGATAGAGCGCGAGCAGAGCTCCGGCGGCGGCAGTCCATTTTCCCGTCCTCATCATCATCTCGATCTCTGAAATCCGAAATCCAACACGCCTGGGCCTACGAAACCGAGCCCGACCGCAGTCCGTATGAATCGATCGATCTATCGATCCTTCGTCTTCGTCCTCGCCCGTCTCGAATTTCTGAGAGGGACCAGCGAAGCCAGCGAAAGTGTACAGCCGGAGCCCGGCAACGGCACAAGAGCCCCGAGCCCCGAGGCCGACGAAGGCAGGCGACGGTGCCATCGACCGAGGGCTCCTCCGGGAATATTCTCAGATTCTCAGATTCCGCCCCTCGCGCGAATATCCGCCGGCTCATCTACGTGGCACCGGCGCCGGGCCGATCCCGCGCATCGGGTTGGTCCGTCCCGAACAAACCACGTCAAAGTACGTGCTCCTGCCGCTGCTCTTCTTGCTGCGGGGCCCACCAGCGCAGGCTCTTGGCAGGTCGGCGTTCCGTTCATCCTTCGCTTATCCTACACGGTCCCTCGTCGGTCCGTCCTTGGGTCCTCCCTCTTATCTAATCTATCCCGAAGTACACTACTTCCTTCTATCCGCCAACTTTGGCGATCGTTTGCACCCGTCCCCAGCTTTAGTGGTGACTTTCTAATGTTCTGGTGAACTCATCCATATTTCAATTTACAACTTTCACTACAAGGAGGAGGAAGTTGTGCCTTGAATCAGATCTGCATATGAAAACTTTTTCCTGATTTTACTGATTTGTAAAACAGAGGTCAAGTATCGATACTTCAGTATTCGCTCTAAATTTGAATTCTCACTTTCCTGTTTTGAATTAAAGTATCTTTCATATTAATAGGCGATTTCGGTAAAGGATCTTCACTAAAGTTACGGCAAATGACTGGTTGCGGAAACAAAGAACCCCTTTACATTAATTATCATACGGTTAATGGGATATATGACTATAGCTCCCTTGTGGTATCAGCCGTGATGACAATTACACGACAATTTGATTACGGGTTTCTTAAAAATTAGGATTACCTTGTATTCAATCGCACCCTTCACAATATAGTTTTTGAAAGATTGAAAGCTATTAAGGAAATATGTTACAGCAAGCTTAGAATGACAAGAAGAGAATTCGTGTATACTTTCAATTACCACGGTAACTTATGTACTGCATACAATTATATAGTACAAGAGTACTGAAAGCAGCTCTAAAGACCAGTCAAATCTGAAATTGAGAGTTATGTCAGTTTTGATATACTCCAAGAAAGATATTATATGATCTATTTCGACGATGAAATTTGAATAAATTATTTTATCTTATCTAAAATTTTATCTTTAATAAAATGATACTAGGTTTTGATATGTTTCATTTTGCTATTAATGATTTGGTTTTTAGCATATTGTAGTGCTTTCTAACTATAACAAAGAAATTCACAATATCATTTTTCAATATCATTGTAGAGTTCATTCGTTTAACGATATGATTGTTTATTTTTATTTTTCTTCATTTTATTAAAGTTTTTGCTATTTATTTGATTTCAATCATTAACTGAATTATGCAAAATGGATCTCCTACCAACACAAAAATACACACATAATTATTTGAAAATTTCTATTTGCTCATAATCAGCATTAATCTAGTCCTGCTAGGTTTGTTATAGTATCAAACAAAGAATCATCATCTTTGATGTTCTTGAGATATATGATAATTCACTTCATAGCTTGATTGACATGAATAAGCTCATTCTGCTCATAGTTAGAGCAGTATCAGATTGAATGCATAACATCAAATGCATAGGTCAATCCACTTCCTTATCATAAAAATTTTGTGGCATGATTTTTTCCACAATAGCATAGAACATAGATTGAACCTCATAAAGCTTGAAATGTGTTGTTAACAAATTTCTATGTTAAATTTATAAATGATATAATTGATTTACTTGTCTTGAGTTACTCAAAGCTTTATCTAATTCAGATTTATGTGAAAATATGTTCATAATAAATAATTTTTAAATCAAAATCTTTTGAACTTTCTATTCTTGATTTAATAAAAATTAGCTCAGTTTTAAAAAATTGAGCTAGTTAGTATATCACTTAAGCTCTAAGTGAGGCAATTGAAGTTTTTTACTACAAAATTTTGAATTTTTTATGAATATAATACTCGTTCATGGATCACATAAATTGTATGTCAATTGTGAGTGTGTATTTTCTTCGTGTGATGTATTTTTAAGGTGTAAATGTCTCTAAGTTCAAGTTTTGCATAACATTAATCAACTCATATATTATTTTTTGTAGTAATATCCTTTAAAAAATATATTGATTTTATCTATCTCATTCAAAATTTGATTAATAATACACCAAGTACACATATTAGTCAAATTGTCGTATACTTTGTTAAAGGTGAAAAAAAAAGTTGTAATTCCTATTTTTGTGTGTGAAAATACTAATTTTCAACATGTTTTTGGAACTTATTTTTTATATCATCTATTGAATTGTACTTCATCTTATACATCAAAGTGTTAAAATATTTCAAGATTTTATGAGCTTTCACATCTCAGTATTATTTAGCAATTATGAAAATTAAAGTTGGTGATACTATTTCATCAATATGTCTCAAAATATTGATTTGAGAAGTATCACTGGTTTGACAATAAATCTTGATGTCAAAAATGTACCATATAATGATGTTTGTATTCTAGATAATGTTTGATCTTATCACATTTTTACATCCTAAATTATTTTTTGTGTATTTTCATATCAAAATTAAAATTAAGAATTCTAAAAATTGAAAATTTTATAAAATAAAGAATATTAAATATGATGATATTCAAATAATTAATCAATTCATTTTTTATCAATTCTATTAAGATTTATATTATATATAAAAATAATAATTTTTGTTGTAATGTTAGATTCATGGAAATATAGAATGCAGCAATAAAATAACTGTGTTTTAAATAATAAATACAATAAAATTACATTGAGAAAACATAAAGCATGATTTATATGCCAAATGACATTATCATATGTGGTAAAATCAACCATATTATGTGATATAATTATAATTGTAACAATCTCAATCAAAGAAGATTAGAAAAGATGCATAGAATATGCATATTTGATATTTAATTGCTTACTCAATAATATCAAATTGTTGCTACACCACATTCACCATGAACAAGAGTAAATTTACAAAACACATGTTGAACATACTTGTCTTGATACAAAACTAAACTTTTTTTCTTCATATACTTAAAAATATACTTTCATAATATCCGATTAGATTTATTCAAATCCTATATATTGAATGTTAAATTTAGCTAGTTCTTGCATTAGTCAATGTTGAATTGATTCTTTGTCAAAATGAGCATGTTGTTCATGTACAGTCTTAGAATAATGAGATTTAATATTTCATTATTCAACTTCTTCATGTATAGGCATTTATCAAACACACTTCATGAAATTTTTTGTACTTTCATGAACTCATCAAAAATGACATTCCATTGATTTCATCAAAATAGATTGCCCACATCATATGCGGCATTAGTTCATGATTTATTAAACAGTGTCAATTACTTGATTAGAGTATGTTGATATTACTATGCACAAGATGTAGACAAGAGTAAATCTACAACTTGACATATGTTATCATTGATGATGGATGTAAATCTATTTAGATTTAGCATAATGTGATAATGTTTACAAAATTTGTATGGTATGGTTAATCATAAAAATTTTGGATTAAAATTTTCAATTTTATAATATATTTAATGATATTTAACTTATGAAATCAATTTTTAATGATGTTTGGATAAAAGCATGAACAGATGAATTATTATCGTAGTTCAAGAATATTCGATTCTCCTAGTGATACTCTACTACATTAAAAAATAATGTAATAAGATGGATTTTATTCAAAAAAATTTGTTTTAAAAAATGCTAAATATTTATTACAAGTTATGATATTTTGTAGAGTGTACTATTATTGATAATTATGAGGTTTTTTTCAACTAACACAAATCAATGAAACATGTAAAGAGTTTTCAAACCCCATGTATTGATAGAAATATATTTTCACTTATGATTTTTATTGAGGTCAAGATTATCATTTAGATATTATAATATTATATTAATTTTTTGATGTTATAACACATGAAGAAGTTTTGTACAAATAAAGAGAAAAAATTTGAGTAGCAAATAATTGTTGGAGTTGTTCAAATTAACACATCAAAGAATATATTTTAATTAAAATTATGCATTAGTTGATTATTAAATTGGATAAGAAGATTTTTTAAATCTATATATTATGGATTGATCCGTCAATTTTTGAATTAGTTGTAGAAAATATAATTTGTTTCAATAAAATTACATAAAATAATTCTCTGAATGATGAGATGTAAACATTATTCATATAAAAATATGTAGAATTTTTTTTTAAACTTTTAATGTTGTTATGAAGCATTGAATCAAAACTTCTCCAATTGATAACAAATTAACATATGAATTTGAAAATGATTCAAGAGTGACAAAAAATATAATCTTCAAAATCAAATTGATAGTTAAAAATTCCACAGAGGACATTTTTTGTTGACATCAAAATTATTTTAGTTGTAACAAATTATGTTCTAATTTAACTAGTTCTTGCAATGCATTTGTTGAGATAGATCATATAATCGTGAATCATGCCTATGTTGCAGTAGCATTTGTCTGTAAATTTTTTTAAAGAAAATACCTCCATAAGACAATCTATATCTCACCCAACGAGCTTTTTCTCGAAGTCTATTTCCTTCATGAACCTAGCTGTACACAAGAAGTTTCGATTTCAGGGTCCGATACATCGAAAGGAAATGATTGGGCTGACAGATAAATAGAACATTCAGACAGTGTTAATTAAAGAATGAGTTTGAAATTCGTCCACGCTAGCTTTTGATCGGTACTTTAATCTGCAGAGTGCAACTATTTAGCCGTCCATACATACAAAATTTGTACTTTTCTATCTCTACAATGTAAATACAAAAGATGAGCTTGCATCCAGGGCCTTGCAGTTATAAATGCCTGGCTGTAAATTAATATTTAGAGTTTTTTACTGATCTACCAGTTGTATGCTCGGTCCAGATTGTGGAAAATGGCCCACCTCCGCTGCGTTTGTGCATAAGGGATACGCACAAATCGGTCCAAATCGCAAAGATGATATTCGATTGGCCTGGACACCTGCGCTTTCGACCCTCAAGATATTGTAACCTTTTTACAACTTACTGTCAAAATTGGATTACAAGGCATGCATGTATACAAGGTCTGTGCTTCCAATTGCTACAAACCTCTTTCATTACTTCCTACTACTTCTTGACTTCTAAACCTGCCAAATCTAAACGGCTCAATGCTTGACTAGGTTTGCAAATCATGAGCCAAATTAGAGTTTAAGGTAAGTCCGCCAGCTGCATGTCGGAAGCCCGATCTTCTAATTGAAAGCCTGAAAGTAGCCGTACAACTCCATATAACACAAACAGAGGTTCCAGGGATTTGAGATATCAGTTGTTGGTCCACACAGCATGATCCTAAAGAGGCGGAAGGGAAGATTTGCACTTGGCCCACGTACTGGCCAAGATGCATATTGACCGGGTCGACTAATAGTCTGTTCATGTTTATGAGAGGATAGCTCAGTCCAATTAACTCCATCGGAAGAGCCCTGCAACAGACGAAGGCTTTTACGTTAAGGCACTTTCTAAATCTGTGACATAGGAGATACTCTTAAAAAACTAATGAACGTCATGGAACTCACATAATCACAGTGGAAAACACCCCTACAAGAAAATTTCTAGATCTATGAACTAGAGAAATTCACTGTATAAACATATCGACACGTTTGCATATTGGAAAGCACTGGTGAATTGCACGCTTAAAATGAATTGAACACAGAGAAGAACGGATTTGTGTCTTTAGGGTTTGTCATGGTTATGTTTAGTTATGGTCTGGACCTGAAAGGACCATGACCGAATGAAATTGGCAGAACCATCCTGTCGAATTGTGTAGTAGTTGCACATCAGCTGCACGACAAACAAAACAATATTCAGAACGAAGGCGCCTCTACTTTCAGTATCTTCTTAAAATATCAAAGGTGGGCCACAAAATATATCGGAACAGATTCAATCCCCAACACTAAGCTGTTGATCCTGCATTAAGCGTCCTCTGATGTACAAATATGCTAAACGGACCGAAGTTTGACAAGGGTGACTAACGTTGCTGATTACTACTAGGAAGCAACTCTGGAACAAGCTAAGCTTCACCAACAATGCACAATGACAAGTTTCGCAAGATGAGACCTGGTGATTCTTTCCCAGATCAACTTTCCACCAGGCGGATACTCGTCCATCTTCTGTACATGGTCCAGCAAATGACGTGCCCTGTCCAGCAAATGACATCCCAATCTTTACAACGGCTACCACAACTGTAGAAAGACTGATTTTATACAATTCAAAGCACTTTCTACTTTTTTAGATAAGGTAGGAGTTCTTAATGTATCTGTATCACATTGAACCAACCTGGAAGTTTCCTGAAACGATTGTTTTGGAATCTGTGAATCGGGAGGGAGGGCTGCTTGCTGTCACTGTGATTTTCTGCGACAAAAACATATGGACTCGGTTAAAGTTGGAATGGACAAGCTTGGACTCGAGCAGTCTAAAAGTAACCTACCAAACACGGAGTTCTGGAATCTGTTGCAGGTCTCCTAAAACAAACCCTTGTGAAATGCTTAAATTAGAGGCCTGGAGAAATGAAAATAGGAAGACGTTGTAGGTAAGATTCTCGCTGACAAGATGGATATCTTGATCCATTTTACAATAAAGTTTCAAGACAACACCTTGGAGCTGTAAATACAGATGGATTGGCTGACAAGTATTAGCTAAAACTAGTTACAGTAGACTCAAAATGTAACAAAAGGCCCCTGAGAGGACCAGGGAAAGACATCACGCAGGATCTACGGGGTGGACTAATAACTTACAAGTTTCATTATACGTAATTCAAATCACTGGTATGTGCTTCTCAAAGCCCCATGCACTACGCGCTGCTATAATCCACATATACAATTGATATAACATACCTTCATCAAAACAGGATTCATCCACGGATGAAGCCCATACGATGTGCCTATGTAATGAAATACTCCATTACGATCACCATCACAAATATATTGTAGCTCTTTGTAAGTCGAAGGTCTAGGAGTGAATCTCAAAGAAGTCTTTGGAAAACTCACGAGTCTACCGTGCCAAGCCACATTGCTGCAAAACCCACGTAAAGGAACATCTGCCAGATTACTTGCACAATGATGTCGAGATTGAAAAATCTAATTTAAAATAGAATGGAACAATTAAAATTTAAGAATCGAAGTCGAATTTTGGAAATGACGTACTTTTACGCTTAGGAGTAATTACCTTTGAGATGAAGCGGCAAGCGAGTCCTGCTCGAGGTACTTCAAAGCTTCCAACACCTGTAAAACATGATGTTTTGAAACTATTTAATTTCGAATATCTGTCTTATCTGTTGTAATGAGATATAAAATCAAAGAAGGGAGAACCTTTTCACCTAAAGTTGATTATATCTGCGATAATCAAAATCTACTCACAGAAATGATCGAATATGAAACTGACAAAAAGGTTCGGCCATGCATCCAACCAACATCCACTTCCATTTAGATCCTAATAAAAGAAAAAAAACCCACCAGCTCCATCAGTGTTTGATTAAATTTACAAAGATTGCTGGACTGCAACTGCAAAGAAACCACACAAGATGAGCATATTATATATTTTATACTGATAAAGAGACATACAGCAGAACTAAATTCTAAAGCAACCGTTTGTGCTGAAACACTGAGCCATATCACTTATTGAAAGTAAGGGCATGAAAACATCCGACAACGACCTCATTACTCACCTTTTGCAAAATGGTAACAGACATGAAAGGGAAACGAATGAGTGGAAGCAAGCATTTGAGCTCTTCCTCTCGGTCAAAAACTAAAGCTTCCATAGTGTTATCGTTGAAGTAAGCACTCGCGTCTTCCCAACCAGATATCCCGTCATGATTTGCTCCCCACAAAAGAACTGCGTCCAAGACCTTCTCTTCAGATGTAACCCGCAGATCAGGATGCTGCACATGCAAACATATATCGAATGATTACCTCCCAACAACCTACGCATCCTGCAATTTTCCAATTCTTACATACCCTTATACCAAATTGGTGCAAATCTACTACCTTTGATTTCAACTGTAAAAGCATATCTACAATAATTTTCTTCCTCTGATTTTTTAAATGAACAAAGCAACAGCTAGAAACCAAATGATGAAGATGCGCTGAAGACCTGCAATATCCTCTGGAGACAAGAAAATTCTAGTTGTCGAAACTCAAAAGCATGGAGAGCTACGCAGAAATCAAAATGCTTCGCACACACTTCCACACATCTGTCACACAAGGCCTGACAATTAGGCATGGATGCTGCCACAAGCAAAACAGCAGAAGCTGAATCCTGCAATTTCATGACAACCGAGCATTAGGCCGGTCTACTCCAAATTCTGACATAACGAAACGCATTGGAGAGACAATAATTTTGAGAAGAAAAAAGATGAAGCCTTTGACAAACAAAGTCACATATTTATATTTACTCAATCATATCTCAAAAAACCAGGCACTTGAACTTTTAAGTAAAAAAGTTCACATACCTCAGAGAGGTTCTCTAGAATAACTTCAACGCATTTTTGCTGTAGCAGCTGGACTCCAAATTGATCAGCTAGAATTAACAACGACAATAAATTCGACCCAGAGTCCTCCTCGATGCCAGGTTCAAAGTGCCCTTTGTACATGAAATCAATCATGACCAAGAAGGGCTCAATACAAACATCTCTGATAAGAACATTGTCCTTTTTACTCTCGCGCATTCCATTTGTAAACATCTGCCAGCCATGTGTTTAGAGACTGTTCTCATTAGTATTTGACTATCATATCTGAAGACCATAGACCTGACGCCCTGGCCGGCAGCTGCAAGTGACAAACGAAGGGAGACATAGTAACGGAGGAGAATGAAGCAGGGAGAGACGGCACTTGCTGACTGAAAAAAACAACATGAATGAGCATTCCAGAAGATTAGAATAACTTCAATAGATAATGGCGCATAAGCAATCTACATTCATGTAATAAAACATTTCCTGACGAGTCGAGAGTCATACCTTAGCAAATGGGTTGCTCCACGCACTAAGTATAAGCCTGTGGGCTCTCACCAACTCATCAAACCCATCAACAGATAAGTCCACATCACTGCAGGTTCCATTTTTGTACAATTGACTCAATTTAAGTGGATCAATAGGCAGCTGAGATAGAAATGCCCCAGTAGTCTCTAGCTTCTCCGCATATCGTATGGTAAAGTTACCTGCGCCTTTGTCATACTTTAGTCTTTCGTCAGAAAGGCTCTTAGGTTTATTCTGCAACTTCTCACATTGTGATACCAACTCCTCAATGCCAAATTCCGAGGCCACTGATATCAATATACCCAAATCCTGCTCCAAGATCTGTTGCAGCTGAAGGGCAAATTCAGTGTGCATGGAATCACCGGAGCGGAAACAAGACTTCAAAGCAGCAATTTATTACTTCATCAAAATGTAGGATAAGGTTCAAGCTATTTTTTAAGCTCGAATCGATCAAGATTAGAAACTGGAGAGCACAAGTTGGAAAAGAGAACTGAACCAGGGATCCCACCTGTGTAACTCCAGTGTATATGTATTGCAGCATCGCATGTAGAACCGGGTACTGTACAAGAGGTAGATGGACAACTTCTCCTGGTGCGCTGCAAAACTCATGAAACTTCGCACAACACAGATGGAGCATAAGCCAGTGAGTAGGCACAGTCCTCCCTTCCGATCCCACGACTATGTGCACATCTGCAAGGTCCTCACTCTCCAAGTAGCGTCCCAGTCCTCCGGACTCATCAACCAAATGGTCTGATTTCGAATGCTGTAAAGGTGGCAACACTTGAATGTGACGGTAACCTACATGCTTGTCCCAGCTACTTAGTCCAACAAACTGAATCTTGATGTTAGGTTTGGAATCAACCCACTGATATACAACACCCTTCCCAGGATCACCTTTACCCACAGTTATGACTCCATCGTACACATTGATCCAGTAGCGTTCGAAAAGAGCAGGCTGCAGGACAACCCTCGCCACATCTACAACGGTTCGACCATCCACCTCTATTTTGAAACGCCTGCACCAAACATGATAACGTCATTACCTGCACTCATGGGTCTTTTTATGAGCTCTCTTCCACTACATACCCTAACTCACCCTCATGTACAAGAAAACTCCAGATCTCCTAGGGAAACGACCGTATCTAAAAGCTCTCAAATGTGTCCCTTAACGTAATTAAATCATTCATCTTACCCATTACTGTCAAGGCCAACAAAGTGTTCATGAGTATCTTTTAATCACAAAATCGTTTACACCCATAAAAATAGATATACGTGTCGTACATATATGGAAGGATCGTAGAGAAATTAAAAGATACAGATTTAGAGGTGAACAACAAAACATTGTAGATAGGTGTCAGGTTGGCTCCCAGAGAACCGAATTCAATATGAAGAGGCCATCAATTTCTCAACTAAGTTAAAAACATTCCACTTTGTTCAATACAAGAAACCTTTATTCAAAATCACGTACGTGATTTGATCATCCAGTCTTGACCGAAAGCTCCGATCTACTGAGTAACTAATGGGCATAACAAGTCCTCTGTTATGCCAGGTGCAACTCATGTTTTTCCTATACTAAACAACATGACGAAATCTGGAATTCGATGCTAGAAAATAACTGCTACTGTTCACAATCTGCTCTGGAACTATACGAAGGTCCATAGAGTTTCGCTCCATGTCTTTCACTCTCGCTCTGCCGTCTTCCCTCAGACGGCCTTGCAAAGTCCATACAGGAATATTAAGAGAAAGTGGCATTCTTCTGGATAAAGAGCTATTGAGGGAACTACTATTGCAGCACAGAACCTGATTGTAGCGAAAAATTCACTATCACCGATTTCATTAAAATCTATATCAAACAATTCATGAACAAAAAATTAGCCAATCGCTTAAATCCTGAAGACAACAACAAATGTTGGGCTAAAAATAAATGTTTACTCAAACAACAGTTTTGTGAAGATTATTATTTCCAGATATTACTCGAGATACAGAATCACCTTTGCTGCCTACGCAGCAGACCCCGTCGCTTGAAAGTGTGAAATAATTTCAATCGCATTAGTACACGCAGCATCAAGAGAACCGAATGCCAAAAGGTAATATCCTCTTCCACAACCGACAAGTATACACCTGCGTGTTGCTGACGTCAAATTTCCACTCACTCTACTGACAATGGATATAGAGTGTTCTACATCTAGAGTGTTCATTGTTGGTAAAGTGAGCGGACTCGTAAGAATTAGTTGGACAGAGAGCCCCGATAACATTGCATCACAATAGGCCTTTGTTCCTGATTGTAGTTCATGATAGAGTAAATCTTCGAAGAATTGAAAGCAAATTAAGAACAAGAATTCGAAGTTTCTCATCAAGTGCAACAGTTTAGCGAGCGAAAGAATAAAGGCTAAAGAAACTGATCGACGTACCGATTGCGGTGGCTACCCAATACTACAGTATATGAAGGACCGATATCAGTACGGTAGTGTTTCCCGACCGCATGCTCCTTGAAAACCACGGTGATATCATTCTCGGTCATAGCCTCGAATGTCACACATCCCTTCCCAGGCTCAGCGAAACGCCCCTCGTCACCTATAAGCCAGGAGCATTCAAATGGTGGCACCACCAAAACATTACCTCCGGCGGAAGTCATCACGGAGATCGGTCCGAAAATTCACCTCTGATGTTTCCCAGTCGTTTAAAGCTATAGGAATCCACTGGACTCAATAGCGTGTCTGAGAACTTTCCCAGATCGTGAAACAGTCATCATTATGAAAACCGCACGCTCTTCCTCATGCACTTTCTGACAAAGGTGAAGCGGGAGGAGGTTTGCGAGCACATAGTCAGCAAAATTCACCTCACCAGCGCATTCTTCTATTCCACTGGGAGAGAAAATTCTTGCAAAACGTCACTGCTGCGGAGTAGGATCGCCTACGCTCATCAACTTCAAAAAGTGAACATTTCTCAAACAGTCCAGAGCAAATTGCTGATCATTCGCACGAAGCATAACTCTTGGTCTCATTCTCCCAGGCACACACAAAGTCATCGAACTGTGTGAGACCACAGCGGATTGAGAATCAGTCGTTGAGGAGCAGTCAGAAAAACGCGAACGCAGAACACCCCGCTCTTGAACGCCTTCGACAACCAGATGATCAATCCAATAGAACAAAAGCCCAATCCCACGACTACGAGACTGAAATAAAACCACGAGCTCCACTTAAAACTCATCGCCTCTCGCCGCTCTCGTCAGTCATCGACCCATCCATCAACCTTTTCAAACTCTCGCCCAACGTCAGCCATCCTCGTGCTCGTCATCAACGTCAACATCAACATCCACATCATCCGATCTCCAGGAATTGCACAATTGTCCGAATCCGGCAGCCACTCGTGAACATCGTCATTCATTCCTTCGCTCGCTTCGACGCTCTCTCGCTGTATCCATTCGCCCGCACGCACGCACTGTATCGATTCTTTTGAATGTCTCGTCCCACCTGCGCTCCGCCCGTGTTCTTTTGACCACCACTTGAACGGCAGGACCAGCGTGTACAGAACGGGCACGGACGGGCGGGCCTATCGACTTCTTAACTTACTCGGCATAAGTTAGTCAGTCTGGTCTAATGTGTGAACTACTCGTTCTGCATGCTTTAAAATCTAAACTTGCCATTGTCTTGAAGTATAATCCACATAGTCCATCGTGTCCAATGTTTACACATGGTCCCAAATTTTGATATGACCCACGATGATAATCTGTTGGTTTCCATGTCAGTTATCAAAGTGCTTGCATCAGTTTCTTTTCAACAAAAACATGGTGTTTTTCACATGTTAAGATTGATTGTTGTTTGTTATGTTCTCATGTATATTATGGGTTGTATTTTGATCATGTAACGTTTTCTCATTTCAAGAACAATTTTGGAATTTCACACAAAGATTTGAACTTTAATTTTATACATTATAACACTATTTGATTACATTCATATTAAATTTTATTATTATTATTGCTTAAATATTGTTATTTAAATATTTTTTTATGCACACATCTTAGACCACTTGGAGAAGTATTAGCGAATATGTTTTTATCCTCATATTTATTTATTAATTTTTCATTTTGAATTATTTTCAGCTTTATTGGATGTATCTGTCATCAATATTTGGAGAATTTATATTTTTCAACCAGGAGTACTCATAAATAAATGAATCACAAGATTGAACATTACTATTTTATAGTGATATCATTTGAAAACATCTTGTTCAACAAGATGTTTTCAATACAAGTGTTTATACTCATTTTGTCAATATAAATTTTATAATTAGTATACTGAGAGCATGATACATTCAGTTTTATCTATATAGATTACATTACATAATTTTTAGAAATATATTTGTAATCATTATAACTCTCACTATTACAATGCTTGTGCATTGTTATGATGAAAGAGTCAAAATACGTTAGAAATATATTTTACAAGACTTTTTTGTGTAAAAATCTATATTAAGTAATTAAAAAATCAAAACTTTAAACAAAATATTAATATACTTTTATAGAAGTAGGATTCAATTCAGATTTTTTATTTGATTCAGGTTATTCTGTCCCAGTTAGTTAGCTGATTGGACTGACACTATATAAGAAAGCTCATAGAAAAGTGCACAGGACAGCTTTTGAAGTTTTTCGATTATATCTATTGTATTTTAGTGAACTTAACTCTCAATTGATTTGGAAAAACCTGATGTTTAGGGAAATTTATGAGCGTGTGTTTTTGGGTTGGCAGTTGGTTGTGTTCAATGTGTTCGAATCTTGCGTTACATGGAGTGTATATGAACATAATTGTCATTTTTTTCAAAAAACTAGAGATTTGTTATGTTGTGGTTTAATCAATATACACTTTTGATCATGCAAGATGAATTTCTGTATTTTCATTAGCTTATTTTGTAAAATTGATTGAGATTTTGTTTTATCCTTATTGAAAATTTTCAGCTATACTAATCGTGAGGAGCACAAAACTGTTTTATAACATGCTTAACTAATAAATATTTATGTCATTATATTTATTGTTTTTGCTACAACATACATAACATATATATTTATATCTTATTTTTGTAATGAAATAAATTTTTTATTCAATTTACTATTTGCATTAAAAGTTTATAAAATATTTGAATATTGATAGATTATTATGTTAAATAAACTATGAATTCACTTCTATATTGAAATTTCCAAGTATATGTGTATGTAGAGGAATTTACTTGATGGGACCCGGGGTGACTCAAAACACTTGATGGGGTTAAAATGAGGTCAAAACACTTGGTTAAAATGAAACCAAAAGGTTTCATTTTAACCAACGGAACCTCATCGTGCACTACGGTCCCACCGTCAGCGATGTTCTAATACTATCTCGGGTTATTTCCAGTAGAAAGATGAAGTCATGGCAACATTGAGTAATTCAGACTCATGGTGCCCGTAATTTTCTTGGACATGGCTGCGAAGGAGTCGCCAAAATACTCTGGCGGACAGTGGCGGACACTCCCCGCACTCTATAGAGCAAATCAGAGCCACCGTGGAATGGGGTCCCATCAGGTAAAATGGAATCTGTTGTATCAATTCGAGAGTGTAGAGTTTCCAACGTGTCTCATCAAGATACTTCTTTCAGTTTTGTAGTTTTGAATTTGAAATTATCCATTTTAATTTTAACACAATAAAAAACTGCAACGCTACTTGACATGATCAGCATGTTATATGAATGGTTTAAAATTATTTTTCTGGAAGTCGACGGTCCTGCCACTTTCGATCCCCAAGATTGACGCTGGATCCTCCGTCACTTCCTCCGATTCAATGTCCGGTATTCCTTCACGTGCGTTCGCCAAAAAAAACACCGGCAATGAATTCTCAGTGGCTTTCCCGCGGGTTTCCTCTCGAACACAAAAGTGACCGTATTTGATAAAGCGTTGTTTTAGATACGGCCCTATTATCCTGGCTCTCACCGCTTCCTCCGGTGTCTGACGGATAACAGCTTTTTAAATTCTGCGTTCTTCAGTATACAGAGTGATCATTCTTCTGTACTGATCAAGTTGCTCCTTCTTTTCAGCAATTACAGAGTATCTTGTCCGGTTCGCTTCACGAAAGCAGTTTTCATCCATTTTCCGTCATCGTAATTTTTGGGCAACATCATTCGCAGCTCAACATCTCGTACCCTCTCCTCGCAAGCCTGGGCCAGGCCCCAAGTTACCCTCCCGTTACATACCTGATGGTCATGTTTTTTGCTATATTAACGACACGGACAGCAAAATTTGTTATTTATAAACATCATGGGAAATAAAATTGAAATTAATCGGTTCAAATGGGTAATTTGATGGTGATAAATTGGGTAAACTAGTTTACTTTTGTCAGATGAAGTATAAAAAACATGTCTGGGATAATGACGCATATGGATAAGAGCAATAGGCTGGCTTGGCCTTCACATTCACATGTATCCGATGAATTTGACAATGTCCAGCCCTCATGCGGTGGCTGCTCCCACTTAATTGCTGTTTGTGCTGACAAGTTTGGGACCCACCTGCGGACCCACTTGTCAAATGTTCCTACTGGGGTAGGGAGAAGGTCACCAATTCGAGGTCGTCTTGCGTCTGGGGCATACTACCTTCACATTACAGGTCGATCAAAAGCCCTGCTTTCTTCTTCCAACACTAGGGACGCACGGTCGCAGTGTCGGGTCATCTGCTCACACACTCTTGTCATAGAGCGGTGACAGCAAACAAACAAAAAGTGTACGGAATCCGGCAGTAAGAAACGCCCTGTGAACTTTTGCATGTCTCTTTAAGTACCGAGTGAAAATGCAAGCCGGCAAGGACAAAGATGCATCAGCGATAATTGCACCCCGAAAACTTCTCCTATTTTCTTTTCTGTAGATTCAAACGACGTGTTCGACTATGTTGTGCTCGTGGTCCTCAGCGAGTTTGATGTGCTCAAACATGGCACCTAGTTCCTTGTAAAGCGCAGTGAGTAATGAGCGTAGAAATATCACATTGTTTTCTTCAGTCGTCTTTAAGTCTATGCTGCCTCCATACTGCAACGGGGTAAACGCTGCACCGATAGTGCAATCGCCCAGAACCATAATACGATAGGCGTACTGCTACATACATTTGACAAGACCAAGTTGGGATTGAAAGATGGCTTAGACGATGAGATACGACCAATAACTGCACTCCGCTACAGTGAGTTGTGAGAGTCTGAAACAGTCGGCAGAGTGCCCACAATTTAAAAGCAGCCCAAGCAACTCTCGATTAAAGCTATCAAGCTGTATGTGAAGTATACGTTCAAGTGGCAAGGGCATTCCAATTTGATTCCCAGTTAGTATTAAGCATCTACCGAGCTAAGTAAGGAAACATTGTTAACGTTACCATTAAGGTAAATACGGAAGGATGTCCGTCCTAGCAAAGTTGGGCTCTCTTGGCGCTGGTTAGAAGTCCTGAGACTGTCATATACTCATGAAATTGGCGTTCCACTGTATGGGTTCCTCGCAAATTATTATCTCGTTAACAAGATAATAAGTTGCGAGAGGTATCGGAGCATAGAAATGCTTACGTACTTAGTGCATCGAACATATTCCGGTCATTCTCAACCATCAGCCGGGAATTCCGAGCAAACACTCATTGCTGTCTATTAAATGCCAAAAACGAACTCATTGACATTGACACGATGATGTGCAAGTTGTGTTCTTCAAAGTTGAGACTATGGGTAATAATTTACACTGGAATATGAAGGGATGGAGTATTGCAATCCTCTTCACGGTTTCCAAATCGAGTCATGTGAAAATCCTTTACAATGACTAGAAGACGTGGAATGTACCCTTCTAAAGAATCGCATCTGAATCCGCAGAAGAGAAATGTCCCTTTGATCTCTTTGTCCCTAGCTTTAGTTTAAAGGAGCATCTGCAGGACTTCAGCAAGAAGATGACTACCGGCCTGGGTTTCCATGTGAGGGCGTGCTTCGTTTTCATCCCTTTTGCGGTCCTCACTAAGTGCTGCCACGATAACTTCAACTACTACAGTAATTATCCACCTTTAACTTATACCTGTTACATTTACAGTGTAGGGTGGACCACTGTAGTATAATGGCTCTGGTTCACTTTCGGGATATTGCAGATTTGAATTTGGTCCTAGAGACTCATCGGGATCATTAATCACAGCAGCTCCCAGCAATGTATACTGTCCTGGAACCAGAAAACACAAGGCAAATCCATGCACTACTTCACCTAAGGCTGGCACCTCCACGTCCACTCCGTTCAAAGCCCCTGAATTCGGACATGATGAAGGAATTAGTGACAAAGTCGCGCTAACCCGGGTTAAAAAACTTGGTTGCTACATACTTTCCTTCCAGAAACTACTGATGAGGTGACAAGTTCACGCTAAAGAGGGTCCTCAAGACACCCAAAAAGGTTCAAATGCCGAGGTAAGGACAGAAAATTGCTCCACGACAACTGTGTGTCAAGCTAAGTAGAGTCTACATCATAAAACGTGTGTAAACTATCAAAACGCAAGCTTTGACTAGGCAACACACCCGCGTTAAGCAGTCAGTAGAACATAATTGATCATATGCAGAACGCACACGCATGACGGCATTAGTATACGTACCAGCCCAAAGAACTGTTGCTTTAGCACCACTAGATCCCAGACAACTAGCTCCAGTTACATCTCGACAGGTAACGCTCAGCGACATGGTCACAGCTTCTCGCGTGTTGTTGCGCACAAGCATTTCTATAGGAGTTAACTCCTGTGCCACAATCGAATCGTTGTTTCCTTGATTCGTGACTGTCACGTGCTCACTGTCCTCCGATTTCGGTTGCTCATCCACAGCATCCTCTGATAGCTTTACCTTATCGCCGTAAGAGGGTCGACAGTCCCTCGCCAGTCTGAAGCCGAAAGTTAGCGGATCTGGAAGAAGAATCTCTATCGCAGAGGCCTGTAAAGCTTCTCGAATGGCATCCTTTATTGGCAACTCTCCGGCACTGTTCCTACCTGAATGCCATTTCACACTAATTCTCGAGCTTAGCTCTTCAATAGTCGCATTCAGCTCAGACTTAGCTTGCCTTTCAGAGCTTTCTCTTGCCTTCGAGTCGTGTTTTGTCAACCCATACTTCTTGGCTAGAGATCTGGCGAGAAAAGCTTTTTCTAGACCAGGCAGCTTAAACCTTTCTAATGGTATAAGCACGCGTGCAGAATGATTTTGATCGATACGTGTACTTGGATACAGAGAGTCGTTCACCATTCCATCATCAGCCAATTCCTCATCTACGGACTCCTTTCCTTTGTTAACGGTAACAGTAATCTCGAAGAGAACATCAGTTGCATTCCAAAGTTCAAGCTCCAATAAAAGTAGTCCCCAGCTTCCCCTATAAGGATCAATTTTTACAAGGGTACTTGTAGGAGAGGTCGCTTCACTCTTACACGCACCCGGATCAGGAAGGTACCTGCTAATCTGCGCAGGGACTTCCATCGACAGTAATCGTGCCTGCTGCAAATAAAGCCCACGGAGAACGTGGAGTTGCAACGGAAGAGCAAGTCTTCTTCCAGGAGGTAATGATGGGGAGATAACTGCTTTGGTCTTCATGTCTCTAGTTTCCATAGGTGGTCCTGAACATGGTGAAATAGATCTCGTACGATTAGAATCATGATGCGACTCCCAAGATCATCCGCCAGATCGGAAAACTAATAGTCCAGCTCAAACCCGGGCTCTCAAACGCAGCTTTCGTTTCTCTCTCTTCAATCGCATGTTTACCTCCTCAAAGTCAGCATCATGGACTATACAATTGATTCAAATCCAAATAAAAAGATACTATAAGTGGTATGAGGTTAGATGACACGCATAGAGCTGTTATCAAATATAATCCTTGTCCGTAAAAACAAATATAAAGCAACATGTCTTCTTTCTCCCGTATGATATCTGCAGAAAGAGGTATGTTCACACCTAAAGAGGCAGGGACCGTTAGAAGCTGGCACCAAACTTCACTACTATGACAACAAACGTCGGTACCGCTAAGTTGAAATGCAATCATGTACGTAACTAATGCGTAAACGGTATCCGGGTCTGGAATATACCTGCGTAGTAAATGACCAACATCGGGCAAGCTGGATCCTTCGCAGGCTTTACGTTATTTACTCCGGCACCCTTGGACCCAACTACCTCCACCTCTGTTGTAGGCTGACCGGCCTTCAATTTCACAGGAACCACAACGGAGGCTCCAGGAAACAAAGGCAAGGCAGCAGTCAATATATCATGCCCCAAGGATAAAACGTGCTCTTTATGTTTGCCTGTTAACGTCATTGTTGCTTCTAATACCGGAACGACTCCAGCGTTCGCTAGCCTAATATGCATTTCACGAATTTCACCCTCGTAAAGAACCACTGCACCTTCACCTCCGACAACTTCGGCCACCAACAGAGGCAATGGTGGCATTACCTCGACAACTGCAGCAACAGACTGGCTTACTCTCGGTCCACCCACACTCCTGAATGGATCGCTTATAGCTACACCAGAGACCAGCTCTCCAGCTTCTTCAAACAAGTGCTCAGTTACTACTCCAAAGCACTGCACGATGCAGCCACGAACGACCAAAGAGCCTACAGACAGTGGAAGCCCTGACAAAGACAGCACCTGTGATGTATTTGGGGGCAAAACTACAGAAACAGGAAAAGCTTCTATTTCCCCTGACTCCACTGAAAGACAGATACTTTCAACGTAAACTTCGAAAGCACATGGATTCGATAGGTCCACCAAAACCTGCACTGGTTCGCCGACTACCCAGATAACTTCGGCACTATTTTCACTCTCATTGCCTTTTGAAGTAAATGGAGTGTATATAAATGGCCCTACCGACGATGCTCCAACCCACCACTCTTTTTTACCGGGAAACCTTTTCACAACTTCCAGTTCCGGAGGTAGGCGTGGATAAGAATGTAATCTGCATAAATAAACATGTCATGTCAAAACACTGTTGTTCAAAGTATTTGATCCATGTAACAGGGTAAGAGACGACTCAAACGCCAGGTCAGTTCGCGCACATGCCTATCAAATCGATCGCAAAACCCGAAATTGAAAACTTCAGAATCATTGATTCATACCTAACAAAAGGAAGAGCGGGATCAGAACAGCGAGTGCCAGGGGGAAGGCGCTCTGCAGCAGTCACGAGAGCTGTTGCTAGGCCAAATTGAGCACTTGGCGTAATTAGAGGATAATGACCCCTCACCAATCGAGCGGCTGCACTCCATGCTGATAGAGGATCACCGGCGCGCACTGCAGCTGCAAGCATGTCACCAAGAATGTCCATTTGCAAAGTGCTCCACTGTCCATCAGCCCCTACTTCTAACGAACTATACTGTCCCCTGCTGTCCCTTGAAGGCTCGTCCTTCTCATGTAGTAACTACAAAAAATCGGGAAGGGGTTGGTTAGATGAGCTTTCACTAGCCGGCAGCTACAAGAATCAAGAGAGCTTCGGAGCTAACCTTGAAATACAAAAGGACAAGGTTATATGATAGGAGACAGTCAATGTCGTACTACTTCTCAACAAGTTCCGTTATTTAGGTCTTCATATACTTACTTCCATCAGGGTATTCGTTCTTGCACTAAATGCTGCCTTGCTTTGTATTCGATAAGACTTTGCAGTCAGTGTGAGCACTTGAAGAGCACTCATAGCAGCCCAGCAGCTATCTTGCTGTTGATACAGCTGTGCTACCTGTCGAGCATAGAATGCAGCTTTGCGCTCATAACCAAGAGCCCCGAAAATCCGAGCAACTTCCACATTTAAGACCAGTCGGTCACTTGCATCCATTAGAGTCTTCGAACCTTCTACCGCACCCATCAGCAGTTCAACCACCTGACCAGCAAGCTCCTTCCTGTTAAGTGCATTTCACTAAGATCACTTTATGTTCACAACAATGGAGAACTTCCAATTCTGCATCACCCTGGTTGAGATATGATTATTGACGACGTACCAATACTTATCGTATTTGGTCAACTTCAGCAGCTGAATATGCGAGCAAGAGGAGATTCACATGTTCGAGACCGTACAGCGCCAAACCTATGACGTTTAATGGATTATTTTATATCTTCTAAGGATACGGTTCTAGAACTGGCAGGACAACTTGTAAGAGAGTATCTGTAAATATGAGCACGATCCTAGAACGATCGTGATGGGGTTGGGTTTTGGCTATACGTCCGCTCCTGGTTGCGTTCTACTTGAGAGAGTACACATTGATGTCCCATCAGCTTTCATGGCACAAACTTCTGGACAAGGAACAAGGAACAAGGCACCAAAACGGGTTCCGGCTTCAGGTTCTTCATACATTGACAACGAACTCAATATCTCAAACAAGGATGGAGCGCACCTGCAAAGGAAGCGAGCTAGCTTCAAGGTCGCCTCCAACTCAAATGAAAATGCCGTTGCCCTGCAAGGCAAAAGACGAAAACTCCTCAAGTGATGACTCGTTCGAGAGCCACATATTGCTATCCAAGGTAATATTTTATATCCAAAAGGTTACAAGGTTTCGCTTATTCATCAACCCAGGGTACCCAACAGAAATAAAAACTTCCCCTTTGGAGGTGAACAATCGGAAGTCATGGTTACAAGGAATATCGACTGCAGCAATGTAGATGTCTACCTATGTAGACAAAAATTGATCTTCTTCTTATCCAAGATTCAAAATCTATTCAGAATTCCACTCACAATGTAAGATTCTAAAAGAGATCCAATCTGGCATTAATCGAACCAGTCATATCCAGTTTTAACATGAGCTGAGTCCCCAGGCTGTCGTACCTATGATAGAGTTGAATAACCTCAAGATAGCGATATCTCACTTCTTCTTCCAACTGTGGATCTTTCAAGCCACCACGATCTACCTGACAAATGACAAGGAATGATACCAAATTTACATATAATTAAAATGAGATTACCCTATCTTCTAAAGAGAAGACGCTCGGGCATAATGTGGTTACCCAGGATGATTGTTCGTAACTTTTATCATCGATGACAGCTGAAGTGCTTTGCATGTTGCACGTGAAATCGATTATTACCATATTTTAGCTTCAGAGCATATTCAGCAGTAAAAAGTACATCGACTATTTGGAGCTCACCACGAGAGCACTGACACTGCCTTCAATTGCTCCAGCATGCCAGAAGAGATCTCCAGTGAGACGAGCAAGGTCAATGGCGGTGGAGTAGTGAGCATTGGCATCAACTGGGGATCCAGCTAACAGACAGTAGTCTCCAATGGTCTTCTGAACTCGGCCCAACCTCCTCTTCTTCGCTTTGCTAACCTGCAAGACGCGCACAGGTCTTAAATGTAATGCATAGTGGTCGATCCACCTGTCAGAAGCTGCACCACATATGTTTCACACATGTCTACTGAACAATGGAGAGCTATAGCTAACCTCTTCAGAATTCAGCGAGGCCTGAGAATCAAGAGGAGTCGTCAAAATAGCCCCAACGGGTTCTGCATGAAGAACCCAACTTTCAAATGCCATGAGAAGTGACGCTGCAAAATCCTGCATCAAGGTTTGCAAATGGTACTCCAACATCTGGCGATCTGGTGGAAACATCACCAAATGCTGTCTTTTCTTCTCGTCTAACTCCACCTGCCGCAATCATGACAAGGATACCGTTCATAATAGGATCCATTCAGCACGTTAAATATAATAGGAAAAAAAACTTCCTTGAAAACAAAAGAAGCAAGACATCACGGATATTGAACAGAGTAAAACCTAGAGTGATCACGTTGCACTCAAACGTGGCAAGCATCAAAAAAGAAAAAGAAAAAGAAAGTGGTCCGCAGGCTTGGGTTCATGTGGACTGAAGGGAAAAGACAATGTGCAATCTGGAGAAACAAAATAGCTTCCATAGTTCTCAAGAAAATTAATAGAATCTTCTGACACCAAAGCCTCACAAATCTCCGCCAATCACCAGTGGACACACTCGTACCTGGCCATCAGTGGGATACAAAGCAAAGCAACGCTTCTCCTGAGCGGATGGATAAGCCCTACAAATTGCCATGAAGTGATCGTAAGCAGCTCCAATATCCGGCGTGGTGGGACAATGCATGAGGCCGATCACTCCCAAACACTTTCTGTTAGCTTGAAAATCCTCCCACGGACTCCTCGGAGCTCCTCCGACCAGAAATTTGAAGCACAGGCTGCCAGTGTCCCAAGACTGCTGGGCAAAGGGACTTTTCTGATGCTCTTTGTAGAACAACCGAGCGCATTCGAGGGACACCACCCGGTGCCGCAACACCAAGGCCACATAATCGCGTAGCTGGGCAGACGGGATATTGCCCACCGCCACAACCGCGACTCGGATCATCCGAGCACTCTCGATGCTCGCCTCGGGCTCCATATCGCTGGCCCGTTCCCGGTCTCGGGCGCACTCGCGCTCCGTCGCCTCTCGCTCCCTCGCTCCCTCGGAGGACAAGAGCAACGAGCGAGAGAAACACAATGCACCACTCCGTCGCCTGCTTTAGTTCAATCCCAGTCTCAGGGTCCCCGCATCGTCGTCGTCGTCGTCGTCCTCCTCATTGCCACTCCTCCCGTCCCGTTGCCTCATGTCCTCCTACCCGGCCGATGCGTCCATTCCTACGCGCGAGATCCTCTTCGAAGCCCGACCCCCACGCACTCGAGCTCTCTCAGAGTCTCGCCATCTCCGATCGAGTCCTCGGAGATCGAAACCGCTTACAGACTAGACGGCACGAATTGAGTGATCGAGCCAGCGTGCCTGCCTGCCTGCCTCGACGCAGAGTCCATTGTCGTGATTTGGTGATGGAAAGGAATGAGAGAAGGAACGGAACCAAGTGTAGGGACCAGCAAATCCAGACAGGACAAGAACCATTCCCTTCACTGCCCATCAACTCAAGGAGTTTACCCGTCCCCTACATACATAGCCCGGCCCAGTATCTTCCCGTCCAGTCCCGTCAAACACTTTCTTCATACTTCGTTCCTTCCGTCCATCCCAGGCGTACTGTGCGTCCGCGCCAGGCGGGCACGCAGGGCAATATTTGGCCTTTTCTTCCTTATGATTGTGGCTTTACGTGGCCGTTTGACCGTACGCAAGTCATTGAGCAGAACGCAGTTTTGTGGGACAAGCGGTCAAAAGGAATTTCGCCCCGGCCCGGGACGGCGACAGGCACTGGCCCGATGACCCTTTTGTATGACGTACATGCGCGTGCCCTTTAGCTACCTATAATCCTGCCCTGGTGCATTATGGATCATGAGAATTAGAGCACATCCCATGAGCCCCGGACATGCATGACTCTTATAAATCCCATCGATCGGGCATCGAGCGAATTTCTGTACATTCATATTGATATTTATTCCTTACATTTATTACTTGTCCATTCCGTTGGTAACGTTTGTCCAATACGAACGTTTCAAGGTCTGGACAGCGGCGTTGCGGCATGGGCTCTCTCTCTCTCTCTCTCTCTGTGTTCTCGCTCTTCTCTAACCTCCCTCTCCGAATTCGATTCCGCATGCACATCGAAGCTTGGATGTCACATCTTTGTCGTCACGTAGCAAGTCCGAATGCCGATCGAGGAAGAGTCTATGGTTATTCCCTCTTCTTGCGGGAGGAACATGCGAGGACAGTTGGCGTTCATGCCTTACTCCGACTTCTGATTCAGGACGGAAGGAAGGAAGGAAGAGCGTGCAAATGTAGCACATGATGTTTAACTTGGAGACTTTTAGTGGACGTTTCTGTATGTAAATTTTTTGGTGTAGTTCGGCGATGGTGAGAGGCCACACAACAATGGTAGGGTTGTAAGTTTTCAGCGCACTGTTTGAAATGTTTGAAAACATGTGTTTGAATGTTTTCATAGAGGTGGGTGCTGCCCAAAGTGGTCAGTAAGTGTTCCGCAGTCAGAAATCGAAACTTTGCCAGATTACGTTGTTGTTCGCATCGTACAGAATCAGGTTGCCATCGTCCAGGTTGAACTCCAGATTCTTAGCTAACACCTTGGGATTTCCCGCTGTCCAAACCTGTGCAATAATCCAGTGAGCAGATTCCTTATCAGCAGGAGAAGAAAAATCAAAACAAAGTGAGAGGGATTGAGCAACACCCCAGATGTTTCGGATTGCTTAAGTGCATAAAACAATCCCCCGCGCACTTTTGTAGACCAGCAACTCACGTCCCAATTGATCGATTATACGCCCTAGGGTGTGCACGACCTTCAAGAAACCTCACGTGTGTGCGCTTTGGTTCGACTCATCACGAGAGCGTTAATGGAAGCAACAATTACCAGAGTACCCAGAGAGTTTCTGAGCTCGAGGATTCCCTTCCTCAAAAAGCTCAAGGTGGCAAATTCATCGACGACGACGCCGTGAGCAAAGTGACCAGGGCCTCTCGCAGTCCAGATGGAAGAACCGGCAACACCGGAACTGGGACTGAAGTCATAGATCGACAAAAAGAAGGACCCTCGGGCGAATTGCACGAACCCGAGCGCATAAGAGTGATCCCTATTGTGGGAAATAATGTTGCGGTGATGATCGCTACCATTGACCCTGTTCATGTGATACGGGGGAGCGTTTTTGCACGATACTCCGTCCGCCGAGTTGGTGCAAACCATCTCGCACGGAATGCCTCGCTGCAAAGCCATCGAGAAGGTCGTGGAGTGCTTGCCCGGAACAAAGGTGTTGTTAAATCCCCTCATGTGATGCGGCCCCTGATGATACACGCCGCTCGTGACCGAGGAAACTTCCAGCAACAGCGCCCAAGCAATATGCACCCACAGACCCAGATGTTCCACGGCGCAATATTTCCTCATCTTCGGCAGCCGGCTGCGCGAACCATCCCCGTCCTCCAGTCCAATCCAATCCAATGCTCTCACTAGCGACTCACACGCAGTTCTGGGCAAGCTCAAACGGGAAGGCGCTTCATTCGATTAATGTGAAGGCCTTTACCATGAAGTAAAGTGAGGCGTTTAAAGGGCACTGTGCGCAATCCAAGGCCACTGTTGGTGATCGAAATTGGGCGAGCCCTCGAGGCACCAAACCTCGTATCAACCAGGAAATCGCAGGCTCGGGGTTCTACGGAATTGTTATGAAGCTCGGAGTCTCAGTACAAACCTGTATCGTAGCACTATCCTCTAGTGTACGGCAAAATTCCACACCTCGGCACAGGTAACTGTAAGAAACTGCCGCTAACCATACCCGTCATTCGAAGATCCGTTCGTCTGAATGCGAAGTGCCGAATCGAGAACGTCCTTAATCCTCCGATGCTTGAGCTGATATCCTTATACCCCGGACGACCATGCGTACTGTATACATAGATTTAGTTCGTACGCTTGTACGAGTAGACAAGTTGTTGTACAGTCTAAGGGTATGTACAACAATCGCCAAAAACAGTCGGAGGTGTCCTCTTAGAGCAGATCAGTTCTTCAGCTCAGTTCCACCAGAAACGTTACTGTGGCGAGTGTTAGTTTTGCGTGTTCAACCTACCACGAGCGACATAAGGCTTCTTCAGAGACTGCAAGTACTCATTCATGCGAAGTTAACGAGTGAGATAGAAGATTTGTTCAAAGGGATCCAGTCGGTCTCATTCGCCCAGCCAGTCCCACGGTGCAAAATCTGCAAATCTGTTACACACTTTCTTTACAGAAACTCTTCACCAATATGACGTGATATTGATGAAGAGTTCTCTCATTTTAAAGAGAGATTGATAAATTATTCAAGGATGTGAAGGTGTTGAGACGGGTGCCCTGTTAAGATGCCAGTTTCATGTAAAATTTCATATATAATAGCCTGGAAAAAATAGATTCCAGTCATGAATTTCAAGCTCCACTGAAGGGCCGCTGACAAATGTTAATTACTAAGGTATGTATGCTAATACCCAGATATTCTCACTTCAGCCATCCCGCATATTGTTTTACTCGCGCCCTTTAGACGCAGTGTGGAGTTTCAAGGCTCAAGACGGATTCTATTGAAACTGCAAAACTTCGGAGCTCGTCAAAATAAATAGAGGTCCGATGTTCTTTACAAATCTTCGTGGCCAGGTCAATTACAAGTTTTGGCCTCTGTGTTGCACATGCTTGTGCTGCTACACATACAGCGGCCTGCACATATCAGGAGAGTTTATTAAGTGCTAGTATTGGGCAAGAATGTGCCAATTGCCAAGAAATACATATAGCCAAGACTCTTAAAACAGAAAAAAATGTATGCACTCACGAGTTCTCATCATGCTCCTTAGAAAGCATGCGTTCTGTGCTTCCACAGTCACAACGTCAGATTTCCAACTTTCATCTTTGAGACCCACTTTACACCATATCTAAACATCTCTAAACAACGGGTCTGATTTACCTGTATTTTTTGATTGGAATCATCCATGTGAACAAGCAAATTTGATAGAAGACTTTTAACCTGCAAGGTTACATTCAGGAACTGACGTCAAGACCAAAAAGGAACTGAACAAGTCCTTGAGTATTAAGTCCTAAAGAATTCGTGATATTTGTTCAATTAGTGAAAGCATAAGGAGCGCCATTTCAGTAAAATTGAGGGTAGAATTCTACTAATGAAAGAAAAGGTACGATCACGGGTGCAAGAGCATATGGAGTATTCAAAATTTGCGGTATACTACTTACATCCTCGTCACTACTCGAATTCCGCATTGTCTGAAAAAAAGTCGCAATTGCAGGCACTATTTCTAAACGTATGATATCGCTACTATCGTCCAGTCGCTTCTGAATTTCCAGACTCAAAGTAATCCTTTGCTCATCTGTCAACAGTCATTGCATTGAAGAGATTATCAACAACTTCCAAATGTGGCTCCCAACTCAAGAGTACAGCAACAAAGATGCACAATCAGTAACTGGACAAAAAGAACAAATGGGTACCGGCCATTTCAGCTCCCGCAATGCGAATCACGTGTTGTATGACATGACACGTGGCTCGGCGAGTGTCTACGTAGTAATCTTCATCAAGGCATGATTTGACAACAGACAAAAATTGTTTTTCTGGTTTTATAAGCTCTAGCATTGAAGCCTGTAGACAAACAAGAATTGATAATCGATTTAGTGAGATTCATGATTAACAGAATTCCTGTCAGTGGGAAGAGACATCATCACCAAGTCATTCGTGATAACGTAATGCATTCATTCTATATACAAGCTTGATGTAGCTTTCCAGGTAAAGGCCAACAAAGGCATGCTAATAAACAAAAACTATCCAAAAACCGAGACCTTTTGCATGATTGAAAGGAGTTAGATTTCAAAAAATAGGAACCACAACTCAAATTAAAAACGTATATATAACAACCCACAGTTCTGTTATACGAATCTGAGAATCGAAAGATTTTCAATTAAATTGATTATCTTGTCAACTACATATTATGAATGATATAAGGAAAATGTTGAGGCCTTGAGATTTTGTCCAAACCTGCGTGCAAAAGTCTTGTCTAAGGAAAGTTCCCAAAGCTACCATAGCTCTGTGGCGAACTGCTGCTGCAACCTGCAAATCGGAAAGTTAATACGGGCAACAAAAACAAAGCATGCCTTCCTCCTAACCCTATTGTCTTCTTCTTGCAGTAAATGAAACAGGTTCCAGTGCTAGATATCCAACGCAGGCTGCCCACCATATCCAGCACACTTACTATAGAAACTAAACCATGAGCAAGTGAACTCTTCAGGATAAGGACTGTATAAATACTAGAACCTGGAATGGTAGGTATGCGGTCAACTGCAGTGAGCAACGTAGAGAAATGCCAATTTTCCGAAATTGGATTTCACATGGGTACTACAGAATGGAGTAATAATGCATAAAACACAAAACGCCAAACGAAGACACACAAAACATGTTTCGTTTACATGCAAAGAACCACTATCATCCCGCATCATTAGCATCCGCACATCGACATAGCATAATCCAAGTTTTAAAACCGATATACACTCAATTCTCTTGAACTTCGAGAAGACTAGAGCTGCGACGGATGAAATTCAACGTACCTTGCCAATGCGCCATACCCCGCATGGTATCAAAAGTTCAAGAATAATCTGCTCACTCAAGGGTATCCACCAAGGTCCAAGCGCCTGATCTTCGAACATCTCATCTAGTAGCTACAGCAGAATAAATTCTTGTAAGAGATATGGTGAGTGGAAAGAGCAAGGCTGGTCTATTTGCCGTCGGTTGATAAAAGAATATTAGACTAGACGCTAAGAAAGAGCAGACTCGATGAACCCTCATAAAAGTCTCAGCATTAGTTCCTCATTATGATATTCGTAATGGATACGAAGGCTACTGATGAATCGCCTGAGCCTTCTACACCTTGTTTGGAAGGTACGAGCATTGACTGGTTATTTACTAACCTGTAAAAAGCATATTCGAAGCACAGGATCTCGGTCATGATGTAGACAAACATTAAACATGTTCACAACGTATTTAAGATATGGACCAACCTGTAGTATCCAACAGTTCGCAAACATAAATCTGTTACAAAGAGATTACAGAGAAAAACATCATACAGCACTTATATGTATGTCAATTACACCTACGGCTTAAAATCATCAGTCCAATGTGTTCTTCCGACACTAAGAAAATGACTTTCCAAGCTCTAAAAATCAAACAACATCTTCAAGCATTTGAGTGAGAAAGTCTTTCAGCTTTTAGCATTCAGAAACACTGGAGATTCAGAGCAAGAAACTTTTGGCTACAAGGCAATACCATAGCCTCATGCATTCCAACAAACTGTCTCTTCCGAACTTGGACTCAAAAAGCGACTAACTATGTCGGTACAAACGTGCCAGGTGCTCACCGTACTCCCAGATTTCTTCATGAACGTCTGGAACAAGGCTCTGCCTGGGGATATTCCCAGCCACTCCTCATATCCAGCAGTCACTAAGGGTATCAACTCGTCTTGAAACTTCTCGTGCAGATTCTTCACTGAATTGAGTCCTAATTTCTTCGATAAACTTTCAATAATTTCACTAGCTCCCATCTGCAATTGAGCATCCTCTTCTACAGATTGCAGCTGCGTCCAGAAAGTTATGGAGTTATTAAATCGGAACTATAAAACAAGGTATGAACATCACGATAACAAAATCCATTGTGAAGGATGTGCTCAAGCAAAACAGAGTTGTAATGGTGACATCTAATCTACAGCTCCACGATATCAGTGACAGCTTCAACTGATCCTCCCCTTAACCACCGCGATAACTCAATGGATACATGATTTGTTTCTATTAAAGCAAAACCTCCAACAGAGGTAAACTTTGATTGGTCAATATGACTGCTCATCCTTCAGAAGAAGGTGATCGAGTTCAGCTGTACATTACGTACCTGAAGTAAAGTAAGAAACAGATTAAGAGCAGACGGTGATGAGATGGTTTCCGCAGCATTCAAGAGATTCGTCAAGACAGCTAAAAGCTGTCACACAGACAAATCTTCAAAACATCAGAAAACAGTCATAATTTAGTGAAGTTTTGTGCCAACGTGTGTGCTCGTACTGAAGAAAGCTACACTTGCTGGAGCATACTGCCCTACCAAAGTAGTGCAGTTCTAAACGCAGAGGGGAAAGCTTTACCTGACGCCGAACAGCTGGATGATCACTGCATCTAACATCAGATTGACGAAGTCCATTGCTCAACTGCGGCTCGCGGGCAGAACAGAACGTCAGTTCCAGGACCCATTCACTCAACTCTGACGTCTCGTATTAGCAACTACTGATAAAATATTTGAATGATAGAATCAGAACTACTGAATAATAACATCAACGCAAGCTTGGGGACAAGGGTATGAGCCGTTAGAAGTACCTGCAGTACTAACTCGTTCGGTAACGTATGCTTTGGTGTACCAAAAAGCAAACCAGCTAGGACGACCAGGCCATTAGCCCTCTGAAATCACACACAGCGGTAATCTTAACTAAAGGAGGAGAAAATCAAAAACGATGAGTTATGCACACCGATATCCACACACTGTCACAATGAGAAAGCATTGTCCAGAACACTGGAGCTTCACGTCATGGTGTGAAGCTGGAATTAACTGGAGAATTAACTGGAGCTTCACACCATGACGTGAAGCTCCAGTTAATTCTCCGCTCACGTATAATGTCGTAGGATACGAATACTTGATGTCTATGTTTTCATTATTTCTATCAACATCGAAGATTTTGTGTTTGTACATATGGGTAACCCCAAGGACGATTCATCTTTTCTTTAGTAGTTCGTTTATTTATCTTTATTCTAAGATTTTGCGCTGGTATTCGTTGGTTTATCAGAATCACTACTGTCTGTTCTAGACGTAAAATGAATAATAGAACAACCATGCAACAAATCCACTCCGCACCAACTTTCGACTAAATTGGCTAACAGAAAGTCATGCATTCAACAGCTGACTTGCAAAAATAGGTTTAGATGAAAATTCAGAATAGCCAAAGTGGGGATACAAATACAAACGAACAAAACTAGAGATGAACTCTTGAGACCAACGAATCCTGTAGTTACCTAGAATAGCTTTGCTCAGTGGAAGAAAGTACCAGTGCTTCACTTGATCGACTGTCTGTCACCGAATCTAGAACGAAAGGAAGCCAGTTTTCAGCGCGCACATAGAATCCCAGAACCTGAACTGCTGCGATGACCTGCTGTGCTACTGCCACGTCGTCATCGCTAACTGCACTGCAATCAGCGGGTTAAAAGGTCACCTTATTGCGCAAGATGAAATACAACAAACTTCTACACCTCCAAAACTATGAGCAGAAACAAAAATCACTCAGTATAGGGAAAGCTTCAGTTGTGGCACCTTGAACACGAACCTGGTGAATGCTGGTAGTAGGGTATCCAGACAATCGGTAACGTTTGTTCCAGCAAATACCTGATTATGAACAACATGATACAGCAGAGAAGTGTTAGTTTCCCCATCATAAATATTGAACACAAGTAAATCGGAGAGAAAAATGAAAGCCTTTCCAATGCCCGGAGACAGAGTAAAGGTATTCCGGGAAAACTGTAGGCCAAAAATCTAGTCTCTGGTCTTGCCGATACGAAGTATTTGCAATCCCATAAGCTCTCGTGCATGACTAGTATTCACACTCACATTTGAAAATCTCAGCCAAAAAAACTCAGCTAAATTTGCAAATTCTATGGAGTGTAATCCATAGAATATGTACAGGATAATGGCATACCGTTAGTGTGTGGGCGAGCCGAGCAGCCCCTACTCGGGCTAAATTCTTCCACTCTCTTAAATCTCTGGTTGTTGGTCTGAGCATATCCTTTAGATGATTCTGATTTATGCAATGTATAAACAAGTAAGATCATCGATCTGCCATGTTTTTAAAAAAAAAGATAAGAAAGAACATCCGACAGACTAAGAAAAAAATCACCACTTACGACAGCATACAACTTCAGTAATTCTATGAGGCAAATTTGTGAAAGCATGTCGGGAAGACTACATGAAAAGGTGAGAACTCATTTAGGGTAAATTACGAGCGGAATCAAGATGAAACAAAAATGCAGGCTTGACCGTCTGATGTGAACATCAAGATGAGACACATGATCACCTGCACCATACTGCGGCATCCAGCTGAAGGCCTTCCTTTGTAGGGAGCCCCCAATAAATAGTCTGGAAAATCAGCGTCGTTTCTCTCTTCAACATCCACCATTGAGCAGTCTCCTACACCTGTTAAACCCCTCGGGGTCATCTCGTCCTCTGTCTCTACCATCATCTGTAAACCACGCTGTCAAAGTGCGCACGACGGCAGATAAACTTCGATAGAAGAGAGTCGAACATAGTTCTGTGGAACGAAAGTAGGTAAGCTAAGCAGACTGAGCATATAGTGGGACGAAGGTTGACTGACCTTGTCGGGAGAAGGATTTCGTAAAAACGCATTTTCTTCATACTCGCGACCAACTTCTTCCACTAAAGAAAGTGATCCCCCGGCTAGGTCAGGAGACTCATCGGTGATTCCAAGAAGTAATAGGGGCAATAGACACGGTATGTTTACAATCAGGTCTTTCTTCTGACATGAAAGACTAACTCTCTCTTTAGAAGGATGGTCGCCATATCCGAGCCATCGAGCAACAGCAGGAAAGAAGGCCTGCCAATAGCCAGAACAGAACAAGCTGTGGACATTTCAGAAAAACTTTGAAGAATATCCACAAACAATCTGCAATTGTGACAAGTTTCTTTTTTTAAATTTTCATCATGATCAAATTCCGCACAAACCCTTCCACTGTACTTTTCATTCAGTTCCAGTCCGTTTGAAGAACCTCCTACCAAGACAGTGTCGTCCGCGAAGACCGCGAGACTTCCACATATGGTGCTGTAGTTGCAATGATTTTTGAACTTCTTTAGTACTCTGGATTCTAAAATATAGAGAACTTATGATATGATAAACTCGCATGTGATGATTGGTGACCAGAAGACTGCAAGATGTTTTCCTGGTATAACTTACCTCTCTCACGCTGAGTGACCGATCAAAGGCAAGAGATTTCACAGAAGGTGCCAGAAGGCTCGAGACGGTTCCAGCTGGTAGTCCACATATCACAACTTCATCGACAGCTTGAAGTACTGCCAACCGAACCTGCCCAACGGAACCTCAATCTAAGTCCAAAGCAATATTACTCTGTAGAATACTAAAATCCGATAAGTAGGCTTGTATGCGTGGGCACACATGATCAAAAGGAAAGTAAAGTGCAGTTTCTGTTCATACATACAGACAAAATAGAGGAAGAAGTACCCGTGAGTGAGTGTGGGTGATGTTCAGCAGTAAGGCTCGAAGAAGTGGCTCTGTCTTTCCCTCAAGCGTTTGAGGAGAACGTGTACATATAAGCACAACTGCTTTACACACACCTTTCTTGATCTCATGAAAAGGATCAGCTAATGCTGAGATCAAAAACTGCAAAATAGTACTATGTCAGTCAACTGTAAATACTACTCTTTGTTCCCACACTAGCCGTACAAGGTAATGCGTCAAACGAAGATACAATTTGTCTTGAGTGAACAATAACTTGATATCAGATTATGTAACTATAATCTATATCCCAGAATTTCCGAATCTCTATCTTCAATTAGCTTGTGTTAGCTCCTTCTAACAGAAACGATATTCTTCATCATAAAGTTCTATCTGCAGGAGAACTTTGAAGTCCCAAAACTTTATCAGTTTGATATTTTATCACAAGGGTTGGTTCTTGACCTCATCATACCTTTACCAGATTATCCGCTACCGCATGACATTCATCGGCACGATAGTCAGCCGACAATATGGCAACGGTCAGTTCCACCAGCTGAAGTCTAATCTCCTCAGATTCTTCAAGAAATGGAAGTTGCCCTGGATAAAGAACGTAATATAGATGAGATGAGAAAGGAAAAAGAACAGTCAACACGGAAAGAGGCATGGAAATCTCAGACTATGTGGAGAGAAATAATTTACTGAAATCACAACGGAGAGAAAAGTTTCAAACACACCCATTCTCTCGGCGACAGATGGGACCACTAAAGCGATGGTCTTCCCCACCTGCATCACTCTCCGCTTTAAGGAACGCTTCAAAACATTATCATTGCGTGACAATTGTTCCAACGTCAAAAGTTTACTTACAGCTGCCTCCGCATACCAGTAGAACCAAAGCTAGCTGCTGTTAGAAAATTTAATCTTCAAATCTGCTTGAAATAGGTGACTCCCAAATGTAAGGTGTAATTCCATGTCCAGTTCCTAAGAATGGAAGTGAATTTGATTACTTTAGCACATATAAAACGAGTATCAAATTCAAAGAACTGAAAACCAGACCTGAGGCACGACTTTGACAGCTGACTTGATGAGCTGAATTCCAAGCTCGCGACATTTCTCCACAGGGTCATTCACAGTTCTCAGAAGAAGACGTAAAATTACGTCATCCCACGCTGCCTGTATGTACACACCCGGATATCATGTTCAAATTCTGGGGTTCTGAAATGAGTTAAACGTTCAGGGCTATTTTTTAATCCTTGATCATTTCGAAGGAAGGTCATTGCAATGTGGACGAATTCAGAAGTACTGTACATTGATTCTTAAATGATTTTTAGCGAACGCCCGTGAGTCACAGATACAGCTCTCTTCAGAATTCTAAACCTTGAGCATGTACCACTATGACAGAAAATGTAAGTGGACAGAAATCGGAAGGGCCAATATGCTCTACAGCCACCAGTACGATTGTGACTGCTTGACAATTATGTCTCATAAGACTTCCACATATGATCTTCATATTCTAGGCCGGTAACAGGTCTTGGTACTAATCAGACTGTTGCTCAAGAAGAGGCCTCGACAAATGGCCTACAAATTTCGAGAAAATTGCCGAAATATATATACAGTGATCTTTGCAAAAAAAAGACGGCGCCACTTGCACAAGTAAGTTCGGCCAGCCACCTGAATAACGCCTGGCGATGGGGCACCTTCTCCGGGATCCCCATTCAACAACCGCTTTTGCAACCTCTCAATAGCCCTCTTCCGAACACTGCGATCAGGATCAGAGAGGCAATTTAAATCTCTCTGCAGCTTCTGAACAAAAGCTTGTTCGACGACCTCCATTTTCAAAATCTGCGAGACACATCAAAAACGGTTTCTTGCCAATCGAGACGTGTGCCACCCTGCAAACGCATCGATCGATCGATCGTGAACTACTGCAGTGTACAGAACAGTACTTGGCCCTACCACTAAATCTCTACCCTAATGCTGGAGTTGTCTAATTCTCTCTCCCCTCTCTTCGCATTTTCTCTTATTACAAAGTCGAGGCGTTTTACGCCTACTACTCTTACTACCGTAAGAGTTGTTTCTATTCCTTGTCAACGAATTGTACTAAAGGTCTTGAAATTACCTTTTAGTTTTCCATCCTTACTCCTCGTGGATCTCACTGATCCTTGACTCATGTACTCTCTTCTCTGGCGAGCATTCTCCTAGTGTTTCTTAGCTCGATCCACTAATTTTACATAGATTAGGGTATGCTTTTACTTCATCTATACATCTGGATGTTCATCGGTCTTGTATGTGGTAGATTTATCTAACTAGTCATCCATTAGAAGATTGAATTTAGTTCATCAAAATTTCATGAGTGATATTTGCTTTCGCGACGAAGTGTGGATTGTTCAAAAGTAATGAGGTTGATGTGTCTTGATATAACTACTTCATCTGTACATTTGTGTGAAATTATCGAAATACATTTTACATGTTAATGAGAGAATGTGAAAAAAATCATCATTTTATATGACAAGGATTCCACCTTCTAAACTTGTGTATAGATTATATTGTTATATTGTACTATATTTATATATCATATGTCATGCAACATGTTTTCGTTGTTCATAAGAGAGCACCAGCTAACCTTATCCCCATAATATCAATCACGTTTGTTGATGTTTTTCTATATGTTTCGCTGTTTGTAATCGTTCGAACTGGGTTATATGGATACTTTAGATTTAAAATGTGGTATTCTTCACTGGCTTGCTGTTCTAGCCTAGCAATATCTTGATTTTCATTCTTGTAATAGGATCGTATCATAGTAAATAGTGTATCATTGATGCCTCCAACAAAATTTAGATTATAAAGTCATGATACTTTGAATTTATGTACTTTTTAAATACATTATCTGCATTCAAATAGATATTAAGGTCTTCAAAATTGATATCATAAATGTGATGAATTTAATTTATCAAGTTATAAACATTTTCATGAGTTTCTATCAACTTAAGGAAGATCATGTATTATGGCATTATGAAGATCACATTTAATGAGAAACATTCTTAGAAAAACTGTTCATAAGATTGTTTGATCCAAAATGATTTTTTCAAATGAATTGTTTATATGTATGTTTGTTTGACTTATACAGTGATATGCTCACACACTTTTTAATTGCCTCTATATTGAAGTTGACCTATAATTTTATCAAGCATGGGTGAATCATAAGATGTTCATCAAGGTTTATTCTAGCAGAAAAAATATATTGTGAATTACTTTGTTTGCATAATATTACAATGACATCTTATGTGTGATTGAGACACAGAAAAGTTGATCTCCTTGTCGACATTCAAATATGAAAATCATGTAAACAAGCAAGCTTGAGTTTGTCTTTAATATATTTCATGAAATAGACAGCTGGCGTTAGCATACATTTGAGCACATTGGAGTTGAAATTAGTCATTGTGTGGTTGGAAAACCAAATAATGAGTGCTTCTAACTCTAATTGAATAGGTAAATATGATCAATTTTATGTTATAGATCAACTTATTAGAATGTGAAGTGGGAAGATATTTATCGAGTAATTGAATAATCTCCTTGAATATTCGTAGTTCAAAATTATTCAAGAAAACGAGGAGAAAAGGTGTGACATTAAGAAGCATAGAGGTCTTGAGAAATGTTTATCTTAAGGAATCAAAATGTTAAAAGCTCTTTGACCTTCAATGAAAGCTAACTTTGTTATCGGAAGAGATGAAATACCTCACAATCATTTAAGAAATATGTATAGCTCCTTTTGGTATCACATTGCCCCTGGTCTAGTTGGCAAAATGGGGATTGCTCCATCCCTTTGTATCATGATCAGAATATTTGCAAACGAAGTGATTTACACAAAAGAAATATAACTCTTGTATAAGTTTTGCAGTCAATCTTGGAGCAAAACTTTGGTAACGATGACAATCCTAAGTGTTCATTTGGGAGAATAAGAGAGTGATGGATGCTTTATCACTGGTGGAGAAATTAACAAATATAAGTAATTTGGAGAAATGTCGGTCCAAGGAATCGACTAAGTAAAGAATATAAATCAAAGAAAGTAAAGATCGTTGCAATATACAAGTTCACTAAATCAAACAAATTCTTCAACCAGTTTTGTGTCAGAAGAATCTAAATTATAAATAAGACAAAAACCTAAATTCTGATTTATCAGCACTTCTTAACAACTAATTCAAGAGTTCATAGTTATTATATTATTGAAAAATAGCCAGGTTGTAATGGAGACCCATGTTCTCATGCAAATATAAAAGCAGTTACTTGAGAGAAGGGTTGGAGGCACGACAAAATTTTTACAAGCATGCTCATGTTCCCTTTCAAGATCAAAAGGCATGCACATATCACAATATGTACTTTGCAGTATATACAAAGTATACATAAATGTAAGTATAATACGTAAATGTACTTATAATAACTAACTCTAACTCAAATGTAATTATTACACAATATATTGTGAGATGATCTCCATATGCACTATACCACTACATCAGATTCTGAGTACTAGACCACTACACCAGAGAAGTTTACACATGCACTATATCACTACACTACATTTTGAGTGTTGTTGTGAAACGTCTGCACTTTTTGTGGCCTCTTGCACTTCAAATACACAAGTTCACGTGAACAAAAGGTTTGTTTTAGTACATTAGTCAAGGAAAATGTGGATAATCTGCATATATGATAGGTTCAAAACAATAACCAGAAAACTAGAAAACCACTTCGTAATTGGATTGTGCAAACATGTGTTAATTATAGACCATCTCACAGTATACACATTATAAGCGGGCAACGTAAGCTCAACTTGACACTCTGTGGTGAGGATGACTATTATTGCACTACACATAGTATAAAAAAACAAAAAATAGGGGTAAAAGCAGATCATATAGAATTATTAACTTATTAAGAAGACATACTTTGATCAATGGACTGATCGTCATTAAAAATATATTTTCCGTGCCGTCAGATAAATCTAGGATAATATTCCCAATATTCCAGCCAACAATACACTTTCTTTGATAATTAAACCAAGCACTATCCCTCACACAAAGAAAGAAAGTAAATTTGCATAAGATTCTCTTTCACACCATCAATGAAATAATTGACAACAATTTTGTCCTAGATACATCAACATCAATGTTAACTGATAACAAAGCAAATATGTTGGTTTTCTATTAAACTCTTAACTTCATTCAGCGAGTAATAAACAATCATGGTATAAGTTTTGTATTCAAAAATCTAATGCTCTTCCATCATACTTTAAATAGCTAGGTATACATTCTATACAAGTTTTTGACATGAGGTTAAAGTAAGACTACACCGACATGAACCGTGTCAAATCTGAGTCTATCTCCTGATTACATATGGATGTACTTGATTGCGATCATAACTAGTTGTATGCACCTGCACAGTGGAGGAGTGTGTACATCTTTACTTGTCTATCTTCTGCTATGTATTGAGGGAGAAGAGATAGCCCATATTCAACATTAGTTGTCCGATCTGAACCTCTGATGTTTTGACTATTTGGTCTGGCTCCTTCAAAAGCCTTCACTCCATCAAGCAAACATTTCACTATTGCAGACAATATTTAAACCTAGGAAGTGAATTCATGAAAAGTTTTGTATCTGCACAAAAATTTAAAAAATGACGCAGACGTGACGATGTACTAATTTTGAGTCCAAAACTTCCAACACAACTCACAATAAAAAATGAATCTTGTCATATTCTCAACACTTGCAGAAGTTTTGACAATCAAAAAATAATACACAGTACCAAACTAAATAAAACCAAAAAATCACTTCATAAATCAAAAGTGCAACAAGATGTCAATAATAGATCATCTCATGTATAGTAATCTCACATTATACATTGTTGAACAACACAGCTCATAGTAAAACATGAATCTTGTCATGATCTCGACACCTGCGGAAGTTTTGACAATCAAAAAATAATACACAGTACCGAACTAAATAAAACCAAAAAATCACTTCATAAATCAAAAGTGCAACAAGGTGTCAAAAATAGATAATCTCACGTATAGCAATCTCACATTATACATTGTTGAACAACACAGCTCATAGTAAAAAATGAATCTGGTCATGATCTCGACACCTGCAAAAGTTTTGGCAATCAAAAAATAATACGCAATTCCAAACAAAAAAAACCAAAATATCACTTCACAAATCAAAAGTGCAAGAAGGTGTCAATTATAAATCATCTCAGGTATAGTCATCTCGTAGTACACAGTCTCGAACGACACAACTCACAGCACGAAATGAATATTGTCATATTCTCAACACCTGCAGAAGTTTTGGCAATCAAAAAATAATACGCAATCCCAAACTAAATAAAACCAGAAAATCACTTTATAAATCAAAAGTGCAAACAGGTTTCAATTATAGCCCATTCTAGATATAGTCATCTCACAATATACAATTTCAAACAACATAACTCACAGCAATAAATGAATCTTGTCATATTTTCAACACCTACAAAAGTTTTGGCAATCAAAAAATAATACACAATCTTGAACTAAATAAAACTAGAAAATCACTTCCTAAATCAAAAGTGCAAAGAGGTGTCAATTATAATCCATCTGAGACATAATCATCTCACAATATATAGTGCCATACAACACTACTCATAGTAAGAAATGAATCTTGTCATATTTTCAACACCTACAAAATTGTTGGCAATCAAAAAAAAATACGTAGTCTCAAACTAAATGATACCAAAAAATCACCTCTAAATTCAAAATTGCAAACAGATGTGAATTATAGCCCATCTCAAATATAGTCATCTCATCTATATCATCCTGAACTAAACAAAACAATGAAATCAAACAACCACATAGTTTATCAAAGTGCAAACATGTGTCAATTAAAGCACATCTCGAATATAGTCATTTCCCAGTATACAATTCTAAACTAAACAAAACAATGAAACCAAAGAACCACTTAATTTATCAAAAGTGCAAACATGTGTTAATTATAGCCCATCTCAGATATAGTCATTTCACAGTATACAATTCTAAACTAAACAAAACAATGAAACCAAACAACCACTTAGTAAATTGAAAGTGCAAACAAGT